CTCATTTCTCTTGAAGAGTTGTGTCATAGCGATGGGCATAAATTAGTTTCTTTCAGCAAAATCTTCCTTTGATGGAGCATTCTAGTAACACTGCTCAAATATAAATAATACATCTATGCTGGACAGCTAGTTTTCTGAATGTGTTAATGATTTAGGGATCAAGGGGGTAGGTTTTGTAGCTTTTCAAAAAAATCACAACAGGCCCATGTAGAATTTGAGGTACCGAGAATTTGGCCTAATGTTCAAGAAATGTATCATTTTTACATTTAATGTAGGAGATAGTACAGGGGCTGATTAGTTTATTGGGCTGTAGAAGTCTGTAATCACTTGTTCTCCTTCTGTGTCACTGGAGAAACCCTTCGGTAAACGTGTCAGTTTTGGGACAGGAGAGTTAAATGCCAAATAACCTTAATGCTTACTCTGTCTTTGCAAATGTATTATTTAAAAATAAGTCATTTCACACTAGATGTATTTGTGTTCATTCTTAAACGTATTTAAAAACTAATGCTGTTTGCATAAGGATCTCCTTTCATTTTGAAGCACGTTTCCCCAGTCCTAGTTTGAGCTGTTACTAAAGGTTGCAGCACATGGTACTTTTTTATTGTTGAAGTAGTATGGAATAACACCGTAGTGTGACTGTTCAGGAGAAGTTAAAAGATAATTTTTACAGCGTTGGAGCTTGAATTTTGCTTGTCTATGTATGAATGGTTGGTTTGAATTTGGTCTCCCCAGCTCTTAGTTAATTCTGTTTTATTTTGAGCCATCTTCTGTAGGTTCTACACATTTGGCAACCCTCTGCTAACAAAGGCCACCTGCGCCTCATAGTATGTGCTGAGTTTCTTTTGCCTCTTCAGACTCACAAAGACAATAGAAATTTTATTTTTAGGCCTTGAGGGTTGGAAACATCCACTTTGAAATCAAACGTCCAAGTGTTGTGCAGAGATAATGATACATTAAGTGAATCACAAGTACTTTAAAGTGGGTATCTCTCAGTCTCTCCTGTTGAACCGATTCCAATTTGTTTAAATGCATTTTCGTTGAACCTCTTGTTATTTTAATAATTCTTGGACTCTACCGTCTCTGCTTCTTGGTGCCAACTGGTGCTTTTTAGAAAAGCTTCGATGGGAGTTGTTGTAAGAGTGTGTTACTCAACCTTACTTGGGAGTGCCGTCTCTTGAGGATCTCTCCTCTTCCTTAGAACACAAACTTAACCTTGACCCTGAGCAACCGTTTCTTGAAAACTGATAGTAAGCCACTTTTTAATTTATGCTTCCAGAAAAAAAGGAGAAAGATCCAGCTGCCTTGCATTTTGCTTTCTTCTTCAGCGTGACCTCCTGCATTTGTCCAATGAATCTGAGCTGAGCAGTTCTGTCAGCCTGGGAAAGCCTGCAGCAGCAGCAGCCTTGAGCAAAAAGGCACAAATGCCTGTTCGTTTGGTGCTTTTGCATTCAGAAACAAATTTTTAAGTGTTTTGCTCAGTTTTAGTTCTCAGCTACCTACGTGTTTGCCCTTCTGATTTTAAATAGCTGTCTGTTACCGCTGTACTGGGGTATCCTTCATGTTCAGATTAATAATGATAGCTGCATCTCAAGGTGAGCACAGTAGAGAGTTGGATGTCTCTTCTTTTCAGGGGGATAGCAGAGTGTTTCAACTAGAGGTGGTTTAGTTCATTTTTTTGCAGGTTGTATTACTTCTCCCTTTGCTTAGAGTATTTTGTTCGCTTTGGTTGAAGTGGCGATTTTTGGGCGGAAGTGTGTGAGTATTGTGAATGTAATTTCTCATGACGGGAAGGTGTTTTCAAAAACATCTCTCCCGTAATTTTAAAGAGAGTTCACTCCTAGATTAGCAAGATAAACCAAAAAAGACTCTGAGTAAAGGGCTGGGTACTTGGGCCATAACTTACAAGGCTCTATGAAGTGCCCAAGTTGCTACTTACCCAAGCTCGCCCTGTGCCAACCTTTCATACTCTGCGAGTGCCTAGTCAGGGCGTGACAGGACAAAACCAATACAGGCAGATACGCTTCATGGCAAGCACCTGCAGAATTGCAATTTCAAGGGGATGAGCTTTCTACCCTTATCTACAGGACAGATTAGGAAAATATTCCATTTTAATTATAAAAAACAAATTGTATACCAAAGATGGAACACACCATATCCTAAACTCAATCGACCTGCACAACTCTTAACGGCATTAGAGTTGTAAGCACATCTGTGTGCTATGCAGAAGCAAAATTACTTCTGCTAGAGCAAGTGCTTTTTGTCATTTTGAACCTAGCATGTGTTTCTTTTACTGTGAAGTGTTAGAAAATCTGTAACCTGCAGAATATTCCTGGTTATTTAGATTTCACCCTCCAAGCACGATGATCAGAGCTGAAAGCTGCTCTAGCTGGGCGCAGTTCTGCACTGCCTGCCCAGAAGATTGCGTGCCTGCACCGCCGAGCCTTGGTGTTTTGGTATGGCAGTGGCAACGACATGGTTAAAATTGTGGGTAGCTTTTCAGAAGGATTTTCTCATCTCACTTTCCTTTAACTCTGACAAAACAAAATCATCCTGCCTGAAATATCTCCTGCCAGAGCAGAATGAGGTGGGGCAGCACGATGACAACCAAGAAGGGGTTTTGTGTGATTTTACTGAAGAGTTAAACGCTTAGCAATTTATTTTTTAACTTCCTGTCCTCAAAGCCAGCTTATTTTATAAATGCTAAATTTAGTCTGTTCGGTTTCCGTCATCAAGGACAGCTTTTTTGGTATGCTTTCTTACAAATTGTTTGACCTTGGGAGATTGCTGCCAGAAAGGAAGAACACTTTAAAAGCTGACAACTGGTTGTTGGAGGTTTGTAAACCCAGTTGTGCAGGAGCAATAAAACTCCACAAAGGCATAAAGACTCAGTGAAGCTTAGTACGCTGTGAAGTTGATGAACTGCAAGGCATCAAGATGAGTTGCTGAAAACAAAATGATCTTTTCTTTTTCACTGGTTTTAACCTCAGCTGTGCGGAAACTGAGCTCTTCATGGCTTGGTCATGGATGGGAGGCAATGCTGGTACACAGAGAAGATTGCCATGAGTAGAATAAGAGAGTGGAAAGGGGCTGTTGCAAAATTTACCGCGAAGTAAGTTAAGAGGAGGTGGAGTTCAGGGCACTGGAAAGAAGATGAAGTAGAACTGTGCAGGAAAGGATAGCCATCCAGCAGATAAGAGCCATAACTTCACCATGCTTCACTCAGGGTCTTGTGGCTGGTCGTGTGGCTGGCTGGTTGTTTTTCCATAATGGCTGGGGAAACAGGCAGTAAGGAATGCTTTTTTACACAGCCAAAAAAAGCTTTGTGAATAGGGAAATCACGTGTTATGTTCCTGGCGGCAAGCTAATGAAACAGAGCACTGCAGAGAATGCTGGTGTACAGCTTTAAAGGGCAGGCACAAAAAGCATGAGCCAAGAGCACTGACTAGTAGAGGCTGCAGCTTTATTAAAAAGCCTTTTGTAGCAGGGAGCCGTCCTAACCTGCCTTCCAGTTCTGTTTCAGCCTGGATTTAAGTGGATGGTGAACAGCGTAAGGATGTGACGGCGGTGTTGCAGAGAGAGGCATCGCTGAGATTTGCCCCTGAGTCCCAGGTGGAGGCAGGGCTGAAGCTATCCCTCTCCTTTGTACCAGCAGGCAGGAGCAGTGAGATGAGGGAAGCCGCGTGGAGCTGTACCCCCTCATGTTGTATTCCCATTGTCTGGGCTGGCATCCAAGGCAGCCCCCTGGCTTATAGGGACCTCGGGCTGAACCCTTTCTAACCCACGAAACGGTCTGGAAGCTGCCAAACTCTCAACAGACTTTAGACCCCTAAAACCAAAATGAAGTTTGCAAAACCAACGCAGACACTTTTGCGAGCCAGATGGGGAAAACCTGTTTCAGATGCCCAAACTAGCAATCAGCTGAGCCCACACAACCACCAGAAGCCCAGTTTACTAGATGAGGATGGAAAGGCAGGAATAGAGAGACGGGAGAAAAAACACGCACCGTTTGTTTTTCATCCAATTGACTTTATGAGCTGACAGAACCGCTGAAGGTATACCTCTGAATATCCCATCCATGGTGTTGTGATCCTCTCAATTAGAAACGATGTGGTTCCGTGCCATGGTTTAACCCCAGCCGGCCACTGAGCACCACACAGCCGCTCGCTCACTCCCCCCACAATGGGATGGGGGAGAGAATCAGAAGGGTAGGAGTGAGAAAACTTGTGGGTTGAGATAAAGACAGTTTAATAGGTAAAGCAAAAGCCGCGTGCGCAACCAAAGCAAAACAAGGAATTCATTCACTACTTCCCATCAGCAGGCAGGTGTTCAGCCATCTCCAGGAAAGCAGGGCTCCATCACGCATAGCGGTTGCTTGGGAAGCGAACGCCATCACTCTGAACGTCCCCCCCCTCCTTCTTCTTCGCCCAGCCTTATATGCTGAGCATGATGTCATATGGTATGGAATACCCCATTGGCCAGCTGGCCCAGCTGTCCTGGCCGTGCTCCCTCCCAGCCCCCCACGCACCTGGCAGGGCACGGGAAGATGAAAAGTCCTTGACTAGTGTAAACATTACTTATCAAGAACTAAAACATCAGTGTGTTATCAACATTATTCTCATACTACATCCAAAACACAGCACTATACCAGTTAATAGGAAGAAAATCAACTCCATCCCAGCTGAAACCAGGACATTCTGTTAAATAAAACTAATGGGAACACTCATCATCTAGGGAAATGAACAGTTAATTCTTGGTTAATAACATTCTGGGGAGATGCTAAGAATCTCTGAGAATTCAGCCATCCCAAGGTGCTGAGAATTCAGCCATCCCCTTTGGCTTCATGGCTACTCTTTGTCACATAGTTCTGGAATAGTCGTCATCGTTTGGAAAGGTTTGCATATACCATCCATTTTCAGAAAATAATGATCATTTAATGTTCAAAGTTTTGATCCAAATACTGTTTAAATGGAGCTTTGGCAGCTTAGATAAAATCTGAGATCATGGAGAAACATCTATACCACTCATAAGTCACCGTAAGGGAGCGTGAGTTGTTGGGGTGGATCTCTCTGTTCACCACCATGAGAACAAAATATAACACTTGTTTAAAATTTTTATCTTAAGTACGGGATGTACAAACCTGTTTTGATAAGGATCCTGCTGTCTTTTGTAATGTCGACTGACATCAGTCACAGCCTGAATTTACCAAAGAAAAGGCATTCTTAGTCTTAGAGTTTTGGCAGAAAAAGGAGGTCATTGAAGGGCATACCAGTTTTCATCCTGTTTGGAGAAATTCATGAAGGGATTGTCAAGATTTCGAGTTCAGTTTCACTACTGAAGACTGAATAATAATATCAGCTGTATTACTGTAGTACAAAGAGACTGCATGGCCCCTCCAGCAGCTCTGGACAAGAAGAAGGTACCTACTGAAAGGTAGATGCAACATAAGGAATGTACAGTACAAAAGTAAATTCAGAAGAACTATTAAAAGAGAAGGTGTTTTGTAGGATAGACTGCAGTTACATGATACTTTTTTCCTTTTTTTATTCCCAAAAGCCTAGGTGTAATTACTATAGTAAAACAAAGGCCTGTTCTTAGCACAATCTAGAAAAATGTGTAAGTCATGACCTGTGCTTTGTCTCAAAGACAATTGACTCTATCCATCGAACAAGTACTTCGTGTGGCATCAGCTACATAAGGGTTTGGGGTTCTTTCTTACTCCTCCTGTAAGGGACCTGATGCTGCTTGCTGCAAAGACAGGTGGGACTTTGGGGCAGACTGCGCTCGGTTTGGTGATGGACTGCTTTCGAGGTCCTTGTGGATCCCTTGTGTCCAGTCTCAGAAGTTTCCCAGAAGTCAGAAGACTGCTGGGAGCAGTCTGATGTGCATAGACTAGGTACATCAAGTCCCTGGTGCCCTCAGAGCACTTCAGGGTGCTCTGAAGAGCAACGGAGGGCAGCAACAGCAGGGTAATCCATCCTTCAGCTCACAGAGTAACAAGTTGGGCTGCTGAGGCAGGCGGCATTGGGTCAACCTGAAATCTGCCTCTGGCACCCAGGGGAAGCCTGGAAGTACATCAACATGTGGGATTTCCTCCGTGGCACATTTATCTGCCCTGTGGATGGAGCTGGCGATTCGTACTGCTTCTAGGTGACCCTTGCCCAGCCATGTGCACAAGGGGATCTCTCATCTCCCTTGTATGCGAATTGATCCCATTTATCCCCCTTCTTTCAAACATTTAAGATAGAAGATGTTGCCTTTGGCCTTATGAAGATTTGGGTATAGCCTGTGCAGGGTGTCCCTCTCCGCCTTGCCTTCACTCTACCACCAGTCTGTTTAGTTCAGCAGAACTGGTCTGTTTGCCCATTGCATATATAAGACTTGTCAAGATTTGACAAATGAACTACTTGTGCCATGTATGTTTATAGTTTTGTCTTTATTGTGGCACATATGGTATACCTAATGCAGAATCTCATTACTGACAATAGCCTGGATAAGGTGTTTCAGAGGAAGTTACCAGGAATCATCACTGGGCAATTACAGGCGGTCTTGCCTTCTTGAGGAAGATGTTTTCATAACCTTGTCACTCATAGCTGGTTAAGCGCTTTGAAAAGTGACCTGTTCTTCACTCTGTGTTCTTTTTTAGCAGGAGAACTTCTCATTGTCTTTATAAAGGGATTTTTTCTTTTATTATTTGTATTACAGCAGAACAGCAGGGTCCAGGGGCCGGATGAATTGGGGTGCCTTTGTTTTAAGTTGATTTGTGTATGAATAGAGGAAGAGACTCACTGTTCCAGAGATGTTCTTGCTTTCAAATGGGGGAAAATGTCAGATCCAAGAACCAGTCTAAATCAGCTGAATAGATGGGATCTACTAGAACATATCATCTTTCAGCATGCCGGGGTTAATATCCACTTAGGCTGTTATTATTACAATTTTTAATATTAGTGTTTCTATTTTCCTTTTGCAATAGAACTCCATTCTGTGATGCAGTTTGGCTCTGACTCAAAACCAGGGGGGTTCTCCATGAAAATATTTAACATAGTTGATTATAAAAATCCCAAAGTGAATTCATAGCTTGCTTGATTGTTAGCTTATTTAGAGTAGACGAACTAAAATATTTGTGGCTTAAATATTTCTGACTTAATATTTTTAGATACTTGGTAAATACTATAATCTAGAGATCGAGAGAATGCATTTAGAGCTGCTTAGGTACCATAAAAAGATTGCTTGTTAGATCTGTATATGGAATAATTGCTTTGGGTCAAGTGAGGTTTGAAGTAGCTTGGCGAATGTTTTTTATTGAGGCTGGTTTTCCATGCTACAGCACATAACGGCTTGTGTGTGCCTGTAGAGAAGCTCTGCTGCAGCGCAGTGCCATGGAGGTACTTAGCTGAAGAGCTGAGAGCTGTGCTTTGTCTTACTACCAGGTTATCGATGGGCATTTCCTTCCTTGCTCTGCCTATTGAAAATTACTTGAAAAACATTTTTAAAGAGTAGTTACTAATGATGTACTGTCAAAAAGGAAAGATATGTCAAATGAGCTTCTCCAGGGATCTATCTTTGGCCTAGCATTATTAAAAAATTCTGTTAGCCTCTTTGATGATGGAAATAAGGAACAAAAATATAAAAAGAGCAGATGGCACCAGTCTAGCATAAATTTACACCAACCAACTTTGAAAGAGTTGGTCTAAAGCATAAAATTATTTTGCGAAGTCAGGAAAATCGTTCTTAATTAGTGTGGAAGAATAAAAAAAAATTAAAATTATAACAATGGGGAAGGCTATCTAATGTGCTAATTCAGAATAACTAATTGCTGTAGCCATTGCTGCCTGTAACAGGACAACCCTACGAACGTGGGGCTCTGTACTGACCTGTAAGTTCATTATCAGTTACCATGCAGAATGCAAAAAGTCAAACATTGAACTGAAGGACTGTGTTTAGCGTAAAGCGCTGCCTTCTGAAAAGTGGTGTGGACAAAACTACAAAGATCGCTGCAAAGAGCAAACGAGTGCTAAGGTTTGTTCTTTTAAAGGTGACTTATGACAGAAAGAAGAAGCAAGGTCTGCCTAGTCTAGAAAAAGGCAGGCAAGTAGGGAGACATTCTGCATCCTTGAAGACTGTATGTGAAGTTGTTTGAAAAACGGTGGTGACCAGTTTTTCTTCACGTCCATTGGAGATGACACAAGAGAGTAACGCTGTAGCTTAAGGTTAGATGTTAGGAAGAAACGTCCTGTCAATAGTGGTTACTTCTGGAGATCTTAAAATTTTTGCCACTGAAGACTTTGAGCAGTGCAAAGAAACAGGGTGATTTTGTACAGTTAATTCTGCCACCTTCTAAGAAATGGAAGTAGAACTATTTTTTTAATGATCTGTTCAAACTGAACATGTCAGAGCTTTCTAGCATGATTTGTCATTTGAGAAACAGGAACAAATCCTGTGGCTTTCAGGACCAATCTGTGTGATGTGTGTGTTAGCAATTGAGTGTGCAAGTCATCTTTAGCCACATATATAACTATGTCCTGTTGTCCTTCCTCAACAGTCTCCAAACGTCCACAACTACCCAGATATGGAAGCTGTACCCTTGTTACTAAACAACATGAAGGCGGACCCCGCGGAGGATTCATTATCCACAGACCATTTCCAAACACAGACTGAACCAGTGGACTTGTCAATAAACAAAGCCAGGTCATCCCCTACAGCAGCTTCATCTTCACCGGTTTCCATGACAGCATCAGCCTCCTCCCCTTCTTCTACTTCTACTTCTTCTTCTTCTAGTCGGCCAGCTTCATCACCCACGGTAATAACATCGGTATCCTCAGCGGCGTCTGTACCGTCAGTATTAACTCCAGGTCCTCTTGTGGCCTCTGCGTCTGGTGTTGGAGGCCAGCAGTTTTTGCACATTATCCATCCAGTACCACCTTCAAGCCCCATGAACTTGCAGTCCAACAAAATGAGTCACGTGCACCGTATCCCCGTGGTGGTACAGTCGGTACCTGTTGTCTATACAGCTGTGAGATCACCTGGGAATATGAACAACACTATAGTAGTACCACTGTTGGAGGATGGGAGAAGCCACGTCAAAGGTAAGGTGGAACCAGTTTAGTGCATCTGTAGCACTCTTGTATGAGGAAAAATGTAACAAAGTTTTAAAACTGTTAGGTTACAAACTTACAGGGTCGTTTGCTGAAAAGACACGTAACTTACACTATCGGGAGGAACCTTTGAAAGTCTTATCCCAGATGCTCTTTAAAATAAATAAATATTTTTAAAATGATCGAGGTCAGCAATGGTGTTAGATGCTCAGACAACTCATGGCAAGTTTTGTTCTGAGAGGAATAAATCCTTCCCAGAAGCTGAAGAAAAAGGACAACGGAATAATTACATATACGAGACATCATAGATGAACATGGAAAACTTACCAGGTGATACAGATTTGGCAAGAGAAAGAATGTCAGAGAGATTGTTTCCATACAAAGAGGAGGCAGTCGTTGGGCTGTAGGAATGTGAGAAGGAAAGGCTTTTGGACCAAAGAGTGGTAGCAGATGCAGAGAGGTAGGTTTTATTAAGCTCAAGGAGTGGTAGTGCAATACTTTGAATTAGGTTTCTTCTTCCAGATTAAACAGCAGAAGGGAAGGAAGCCACACGGAGTGTGTGTGTTGGGAATGAGTTTTGCAGACACAGGACCCGAGAGGCACATGGAGGTGTGAAGGAAGGAAGAAAGCACATGCCAGAAGGACAGATACACTCTTGGAGAGGTGTCCAAAGAACACAGAAAGGGGAGCTGGAGAGCAAGAAAAAATGAGAACATAACAGTTACTGAGGGAGCAAAAACTTTTTAGAGATGGTGACATGATAGGTGGAGGAAGAAAAGAGAAAACAGATATGCCCAGATACGTTGAAAAGCGTAGCTTTATAAAGAAGGCATTAGTGGCAGAGATGGGGACATGAGGAAAGGAATGAGAGAGATTCATTTCAAGGTTCATTGCGTGTGAGTGAATAAAATATGGCTAATTCTCCCCTGAAATGAGGTACTGCTTGAGGCGGAAAGCGAAGGTACTGACAGATAACCTTACTTTAGGGCTTATGAGACTACAGGGCATTTAGTAATACATCTTATAACATCTCTTGTGTACCTAATTGTATAATGAACGGGTCTCTACAACTAAAAGACCTTTTTTCTTCAACTCTCCTGTCTGTTTTTGATATACTGGTGACTGTGTGTTATTCTACAGGACTACAGTGATGGGTCATTCTGATGTTTAGTAGCATCCTGTTGTCGATAAATCTTTGGTTCTCCTCCCATTCCCTCAGTACCTGAGCGTGGACTGTGCCCTCTCAACAGGCTTGGACATAGGAAACGAGTTCACAGCTGATCCGGGTTTTGTTTTAAGCCTCAAAATGATGGTTTAAGAAATTTTATTGCACTTCATACAATGATGTAATTTTAGGACTTTGTGCCGTTATGTCAAGAAATGATGAATGAAAGCAAAACTTTTCACCATGTTGTCTGGGAAAAAAAGAGAAAGGAAAGTTTTAGTCTGCATTTTGATTTTGGAGCTTTTGAGCCGCACCTGACCTTGAGCTCATCCAGAATTTTTCCCATTTGTTTTCTTTTCAAAGGTGCTAGTTGGCTCTGGTAGTAGTCTCCTGTAGAGGAAGCACCTCCTGATCTTGTAAAACTGGAACTTTGCTACCCCAGTTTCGTCAACAAAATTCCGGAATTTAATGTGCCATAGGGATTTCAGCCCACGAACTCCAGGCCTCCTGAGCTGCCCTGACAATATCGCCTTTGTGCTATTATTGGCAGAGATCATTAACCAGCCCTGCAGCACTTACTAATGTACAGCTAAAGAAAAACAAGGGATTAAGCGTTCTTTATTTTTTTTTTCTCATCAGTTGTACCCATTTTGCTATCACTAATTCTTTTGATATAAATGTTCAGGTTAATTTGAATGAATACAATAGAAGAATAATGGGCAACAGTCCGCTCTAGGTAGTCATCTTCTCTCAGCTTTTGCTGGATTGTGGTTTTCTTTCTTTAATGTAAAACAATATAAATAATAAAATGCAATGATGTTGCATAAATTAACTGATTAAATAAATTTCATATGTGGTTAGACTAACTTCCCTTCAGTGGTCAGCTTTCGTGCTGAAAACAAGAAATAAATGTACACAGATGCCAACAGGACATTGCTGTCAGATTGAATTGGTTGCTAATCCTCTACCAGCTGAAGGAGAAATGCAGTTTCAGGATCATCTAGAGTCACTACTTTCAACTTTTACATGGACTTGATCATTTTCAGAAACAAAAAAAAATGCATGCTGAAACAAAGTCAATCCACAGTTAGCATTGGCAGCATTTGTCCCATAATCTGTGTGTTGTTGCTGCTTTGGGGCTAAATCAGAGACCATGTTGATGATCCAGTGGTGTGGTTGGGAAGCACTTAAAATTATATTTTACATTAGTCGGTATCCAAGTCTTTTTCACTTGAATGAGACTTAGGCACTTTCCTGAAGAAAGATACTTTCAATGCTAAAATTAATGAAAATGACATTAGACTTAAGTTCAGACCTCACCGGTTTTTGTAGATACAGGTACTTAAGGGAAGAATGCAAGAAACAGGATATAGAGAAAGGTTTTTTCCCTGTTATTCCCAGTTTTATTTTCCTCATGCTAAATTTTCCTCTTCCTTCCAGGTTTAACTAGAACCATTTCATTTTTAATTTTATTGCAAAACCTTCTCTGGCCACCACCATCCCTCTAATCCTGCCTCCAGGCATTTTGCTCGGGTGGCTTTCTGCTTCCTCTGATGCTTCCCAGGAACCATACAGTCCACCTTCCTCTCTCTCAGACAAAACTGTCCTCCCAGTGGCTGCTTTTCTAGGCAGTTCAAGCAAATACTTCTTTCTTCATGTTCTGTTTGAATTCTCTCTTCCCTCCAGCACAAGAAATCACTATCTCCTCTTCTGTTTCCCCCTCTTTTTCTATTTTTCCATTTTTTCTAGTGCTTCCCATCTTGCTGACTGTTCGAGTGCCATTTTCAGCAGCTCTGCTTCATCTCTGCCTCCTTATCTGTTAATATTTCTAACCCGTACTGTTGTCATCTCCTCTGCCGCTGCGCATGGCGTCATTCTCCATGGCGTCATTCATCCTGGCATTCTGTCGCACCTTCCTTCAGGAGAGTCTCAGATCTCCTTTTCTGCCTCCCAATGTGCTGCTCATTTCTGCTCTTTGTCCTGCCTCCTCTCTCCTATTTTTTACTCATAAGGTTTCCCGTTAAATCAAACCCTTTCTGCAGCATTGAAAACCAGATGGGTTTGCAGAGAATTAGCTCTTGTATATATGAGCTGCCGGCAGCATCCTGTCAGGTCCTGTGCCACGTGCTATACCCCAAGGGGGGCAACGGGAGCCAGGGGTATCAGGCTACAAAAGCATCTTTCTGTCAGATTGATGCTTTTTGCAGGATATAAACCTCTCAGTTCACCTAGCATAAATCCAAATCAGGATCGAAGCATTTTTAGGAATTTATTAACAACACATAATTAGAAGGTAATCAGTGGACGATATATTCAGCATCAGTAATACAACATGAGCCATTTACAAAATTTTACTAAATTCCTACAAATTTCTAACACTGTTCTGTAATCCCACAACACTGACAGGCACACATGCACAACATGGTTACATGGTTACATGCAGACTCCCCTGCCGACCATGGACCTTCCCCTCCTGCCATCTCCCTGATGCACTGGGGAGGAGGCACCCCAGGGAGACCCCAAAGTGGGGGTCTCTGTGTGCTGCCCCTACACCGCCAGGCGAGCTGTGCAAGTTGCCCCCTACAACCTAATCCTCATGTTATTTCATATCGAATCATAGATTCTATGCACAAAACGTAGTAATGTGTTAGGGCTGTCGGGGCACGGAGGGGACGGGAGCCAGGCACAAGTTCCCCTGGGCACCACAGGTCCGGGCTGCACCCTCCGCCAGCCCCTACAAAGTGGCAAAGAGATGAAGTTCACTTCCTTCAGCGGTCACCACTGTTGTCTTGTCATCCAAAGCCTTAAAAAGCACTTGGAGATTTTTTTCTGCATGGAGTAGGTGGTGACCACTAGACATTATTATACATTAAAGTATTCCAGAGCATTAAAATCCTATGAAAAACTCTTTCCTCGCCTTTTTTTCTCCCTGTTCAGCAATGGTGAGGATTGCTAAAAGGTGTAATTAGAGGCACAGCAGGTAGCAGCACCTATAGATAAAGTTGCCTGATGGTTTCTGTTAAAACCCTGTCTTTGGTTGCTCAAAGTCTGTCTATATGTTTACCATCTAGGCTAACATTTTCCATGCTGTGTGTCTGACTCAGGCTATTTCTTTTTTTTTCTTTCTTTCTTTTTGAGGAAAGTTTCAAGAAAAAACTATTCCACTCTTCCATGTAGCATTTTCCATGTTGAAAAATTTATTCCAGCTTTTTTTGGTGAAAAACTCTAGAACCTCTGTGGTTTTGTGCCATGAACCTCAAGTTTGGTTTGGACCATTGTCCTTTTTTTGTCTTTATAAGCACATGCGGAAACTAAGCCAAGTTTGGAGATCTGAAAAAAATATGAATTGCCTTAAAGGGTAAAGCAAAAAAAACCTTTGGCTGGGAAGAGGCAAGGAGAAGGTTGGAAGGGACTGGGCAGTAGGGAGAGGGGCAGGATAGAAGCGGGGGGGGAGGGGCGGTGGGGAGATGGCTACAGATTTGTGAACATGTTCAGGAGGAAAAGTGGGAAAGGGTTGGAGACAGAGGAAGGGGGAAGAAGCAAAAGGAGGGTAGGAAAGAGATCTGGGCAGGGTGAAGGGGAACAAGGAGAGGCTCAGACAGATGGGAGTAAAAGGGCCTGCTATGGCAGCAACATGTTCCCTACAAACTCTGGTCCCATTAGCCTGAGTCTTTCCACTGCTTTGCTTTCAGAAGATATCCACGAATACTACTGGCAAATCATGTCCCTCTAGCAGCAAGTTTTGCCAAAGATAATATCCTTAAAAATTGTTTTCTGTAGTTCAGAAGAGTTACTCCATTCATTGAAGGGCCTTTTAGAAACTCCCTCCTGATGATGGTGCACCAAGGACCTATGCAACGTTGATATTTCTGGGGTTTTGGGTTCAAGTTTTTGGGTTCTCACTCTTAGGGGTTTTAAAGTTTTCAGAAGACACAACCACTTGCAAAATCCAGCAGTCAGAATATTATAAATTTAAATTTGCCAACTGAACTTCATCTGCATCCCGTGTACGTAAACATCCGTAATGACATTGGCGTGGACTATTTTTATATTACTATGTCTGTGTATAGACCTAGCAGAAATACACAGATTGTGTCTTTTCACAGTTTACACATGCCATATTCCTTACTGTAGATACATTAATAAGTAGTAAATACAGTACCTTTTGCTACAGATTTTTCTGCGACTTAAAACAGGTAATACTACTAGATTACCTTATCCACTGCCCTTGTTTTTTTTTTTAAAGTACAGCCTGTTATTTCTGCCTACTGTAAAGTTTATTCCACAAAAGTAAATGCAATTTGTAGTACAAAGGTAGAAATTTAGAGAACCTTTCCATATGTTTAAAGGTCAGATTATATGGTCTGTTTGTATAAATTATGCTATGGAAGAGACTCTTAATTAAAACCAGTAGTGTTGCCTTTTTTATTCATGTGAAGCGATTATCCTTTCTACATTTTAGTAGATGGTTATTTTGGATTTGAGTTGCATTGAGGCGGAGAGTTTCTACTTTAGCTGTAATTTTTTTGTTGTTACACACAAAAATCTTTTGCGACTGTACGTATTCCAACCTGTCCACCTCCACCCCCCTGCCCCCCAAAATGTTCAGTGTCTCTCCCCCTGTTTGCTTGGTTCGTCTGGAAGAAATATTAGTGGTTCTTGGAAAGGAGAAGCAGGTTGGCAATGGCTAGCCAGGAAAAGAAGGAGGCAGAGGAGAGGCTTGTGTTCAGGGTGGGACCTGTGTTACTGGAGATGGTGCATATATTTAAGAACTAGAGTAAATAGTAATTCTTGCCAGCATGGAGAGTTAAAACACCGGTTGCAAGAAATGCTGTGGTATTTGAAATGGAGAAGGAGGTTGCTTGAAGACAAAGTAGCTTGGGTTGACTACGGGGAGTCCCATAAACAGTCTTCTACTTAAATCTCCAGAAAAGTCCTATTTCTGTTGACTCACTAGTGACATGCTTAGGTTTTTCCTCTGTAGAAGCACATGCTCTTCTAAGATTTAACAGTGGATTCAACATCATGTATGTTTTTAAATAGGAGCAGGTTTGGGGAGGGGAATGAGGTAGATGTGTATTCCAGCTTTATTTGTGAAGCCCAGCGTAAGGAGGATGAGGAAGTCCATTTCGACATATCCTGAGTCCCTGCACCTTTTGGCAGCTGTTAATTCCTTTTCTTCCACGCAAAGAATGCTTCTGGTCCTTCAGCTCTGTATTCTCACCAGGGCTGAGCTTTGATCTAGTTGCTTTTATCCCACAAATTTGGATCCAGTGGAAACACATGCATAAAACTTCTTATTTATTTCATCCCTGCCTTGGACCAACCTGCTGGAAACTTTCTTGTGTCTAAAATATCTCTAGACTGTTGCAGTGTGTAAGTTGCAATCTGCTACCATTTTGTAGTGGCTTTGCAATATTTTATTTAATATTAAATATACTCTGTCCTTACTGTTTTCCCTGTTTACTTTTGGTGATAGAGTATTT